TCTTAAGCTAGTTACTCAGTTGTTAAATGAATCACTGCAGTTCTTAAGCTAGTTACTCAGTTGTTAAATGAATCACTGCAGTTCTTAAGCTAGTTAGTTGTTAAATGAATCACTGCAGTTCTTAAGCTAGTTACACAGTTGTTAAGTGAATCACTGCAGTTCTTAAGCTAGTTAGTTGTTAAATGAATCACTGCAGTTCTTAAGCTAGTTACTCAGTTATTAAGTGAATCACTGCAGTTCTTAAGCTAGTTAGTTGTTAAATAAATCACTGCAGATCTTTAGCTAGTTATTCAGTTGTTAAGTGAATCACGGCAGTTCTTAACGCTAGTTACACAGTTGTTAAGTGAATCACTGCAGTTAAGCTAGTTACTCAATTGTTAAGTGAATCACTGCAGTTCTTAAGCTAGTTACACAGTTGTTAAGTGAGACTGCAGATCTTAAGCTAGTTATTCAGTTGTTAAGTGAATCACTGCAATTCTTAACGTTAGTTACACAGTTGTTAAGTGAATCTGGCTTCCCCATTGACATCGCTTGTCAGAAGGTCCTGGGACGCTGCAACCTTCATAAATATGAACCATTTAATGACCATTCAAAGTTACAACGGCACTGAAAAAGGTGACCGAGGGGCCGTTTTTCACTCTTAATGGCCGTTGCAGCATCCACATGGCCATGTAGTAAAAATTCAGAGGCTTGGCAGCTGGCCCGTATTTATGACGGTTGCAGTGTCTCAGGGGGGAGGAGGGAGGTGGTCAGGTGATTCCCTTTTGCGACCGAGAGAATCCTAAGTTGTTAAGTGAGTTTTGCCCCGTTTTACAACCTTTCTTACCACAATTGTTAAGTGGATCCGGCCTCCTCATTGAATTGTCAGAAAGTCACAAAATGGGAATCGTGCGATACCAGGAGACCACAACCGTCGTAAGTACGAGTAAGCCCTCGACTTACAAACTTAACAGGGCCCAAAAATTTACATAGCTAAGTGAGACACCTGTTAAATGACATTCTCCTCCACTTTACAACTTTCCTTGCCGCGTTTGTTAAGCGAATCACTGCAGTGCTTAAATCAGTCACACGGTTGTTAAATGAATCGGGCCTCCCCATGGACGTTGCTTTGCCAGAAGGGGATTGCGTGACCCCCGTGGGGCCCTGCAACCGTCATAAATATGAGCTAGTCACCAGACGTCTGAATTGTGACCATGGCGACGCAACGGTCGTAAGTGTGAAAAACGGGCGTAAGTCCCTTTTTCTCGGCGACGTTTGTCACATTGAACGGTCTTGAAACGCAAAGTGTTGTAAGTCTTATATGGTTCTTCTTATATAAGAAGTATATTATGTACTTCTACCCCGTTTCCCCAAAAATAAGACCTTCCCCCAGATAATAAGCCCCGTCGGGCTTTTGAGTGCATGCGCTAAAATCAGCCCTCCCCTGAAAATATTGCAACACAGCCGCAGCCATGAGGTGCCCATGCTCACCGCCTCCTGCACCCCAAAAATAATAAGCCCCCCCCCCCCAAAATAAGGCTTATTTTTTTAGGGGGGTTCAAAAGAAAATAAAAACCCGGTCTTATTTTCGGGGACCCAC